CCTGCTGTAATTCCTGCTAAGGCTGAGAAGAAAGGTAAAAGCTTTGTACATCATGGTTTACTGTGCTACGTGGTTTTACTGTTTGTGTGGCCTTTTTTGGCTGGTTTAGTGTGTTATGTACTGTTTACGTTTGATAGTTGATTTTGAGTTTTGGGTATTGGGATTTGAAGTGATTGACTGTGTTTCTCTATAAATTGACTGAGAAAGAGGGGTTCCTTATAGAATGTTTTGTGGTATTTTCTTATACAAAAAAGTTGTTTGATATTGTTTTTTGTTTAACTTTTATGTTGGTTGTTTAGTTTCTTTCGTAACTATTTTGCAATGCGTGGTAACTAGTTTGGGGTTACTGAAGATCCATCTGGAATAATGGAATGGTTCTTTGCCGTATTTTATCTGCTTTCATTTGTCACATGTTTGAGATTTGCTGTTTGTTGAGTAATTTTGCTTTTGAAATTGTGGGGTTTGCAGGGAAGAACAAGAGGGAAGCTGGAGAAGCTATAGAAAAGATTGTCAGTGCAAAAAAACAGAAGAAAAATGATGGAGTAGCTCAAGCTGTGACAAAGGTGAAGGTGGAAACTAAGACTCAGAAAAAGAAGAAAGCGGAGTCCAGTGATTCTGATGACTCCTCCTCCGAAGAAGAGGTACATAACTGGTTCAACTTGATAAATCCCAAAGTGATTTTTCATGGTTGTGTACTTGTAGTTTTAATGAAAATAAAATGTTCGAATTCGTTTTATATTTTTGAATAAATTGTGTTATATATGGGTTTTGGGTTCACAAGATTGTAAATTATTAGGTAGAGGTTCAACCAAAGAAGGCATTGAAGTCTAATAAACCACCTGTCAAGGATGCCAGCGAATCTGAATCAGATTCTGAATCTGATGAGGTGAGCATTGGAACGAATTTTAGTTGATGCTTTTCCCTTATTTGTGCTTCTTGAATTCTTGATTTTTATTTTTAACCCAGGAGCCACCTACCAAAGCTGCTCCTGCCAAGAATGGTTCTAATGGTGTTGCTGCTAAGAAGGGAAAGGACGACAGCAGCTCTGAGTCTTCAGAGGATGAATCTTCTGATGATGAGGTAAATTTCCTTAATGTTTTGCAAAATGCTAGTAGAACAATTTATGATTTTTATTTTCACGTTCTGTGCAATCCTGTTGATCTTAATACCTTGTTCTCTCCTTTTCTCCTTTGTTTTATGACAGGATCCTAAATACAAGAATTTGCCAGCAGGTAAGAATGTGCAACCAGTGAAGAAAGAAGAGTCTAGTGACAGCTCAGACGAGGATGATAGCTCCTCAGACGAGGAAACAGTGAGTGTCACATTTCCTTTTCTCTCTATACCCCCTTTCTCTTATGCTTGTACCAGGGAAACTGAAACCAAAATTTTTGAGAATTGTACCAGCGGTTTTTTTCCTGAAAATAAGAATCTATACTGACATATCCTAGTAAAAAAATGCTGGAAGTGATTTCCTAGTAGAATGTCTTGGTAGCATCATCTGCATGTGAGTTGAGCTACATTACTGTTCATTGACCATTCATTAAATGCTTCATGTAGGAAATTCCTGCAAAGTCTGCTGCAACTAAGAATGTTCTTGTACAAGCAGCGACCAATAGAAAAGTTGACTCAAGTGATTCTGATGACAGTGAATCCTCGGATGAGGATAAGGTGCCATTCTTGCTTGATTCTTGCTGTGATGGATATTTAAATCTTGTCTACAATATGGGTCTGGTGGATATTTGGTATTTAATTGTTTTGCCATTTGCTCATGTAGGGTACACTAGCAAAGGCTTCTCTTCCTAAGAAGGTTCCAGCAACATCTGCCCAGAAGAAAGCTGAATCTAGTGATGATTCTGATGATAGGAGCTCTGATTCTGATGAATCCTCTTCTGAAGATGAGGTCATAGCCATTTGCACATAGAATCTTAAATATTGATTTGGCTGATACTTCACTACAATGACCAAGCTTAACCATTAAGTTGATTTCATACCTGGGATATTCTTTAATTCTGTTTATATAGTTCTGACAGCGTTGGCATTTTCTTGTTTCAGGGGAAAACCAAATCTGCAACTCCAACTGCTTCAAAAGTTCAACCAAAGAAGAGTGGGGATGACAGTTCAGAGACTGATTCTGATGAGTCTGATGAAGATGACGTGAGCACTTTATTGTACATTTTATTAGCTTAGCTAGCATTTAGCAATCCTTTTTCAGTTATACTATCATTGATGTAGCTCAATTACATTAATTGAACAATGCAAGTTTTATTTTCTTCTTTCGTTGATTTTATCATTGTCATTCCAACAACGGCTTTTTGAACATGCAAGCTAAATTCTCTTTGGACAATTTTGAATGTTGCTATGTTGTAACTTTTATTACTGTGGATCTTTCTTATTGTGAAGTAAAATCTCTCCTTTTCTCTTGCAGGCTCCTGTGCCAAAGGCAGCTGTTACTTCCAAAAAGCCATCATCTGCAGCTGAAACAAAGGATTCAAAACAGGTAATTTTGCATATGCATGTGCGTGCTTGGACATTTACAAACACGTCCATATGTTGCCTTTTTTTCATGTGTTCAAATGTTGAAGCACAACAGCTTTTAGGCGTGGTTTGATAATGCATTTGCAGGATACTTTCCTGTGATCTCTTAGGATGGGGAAGCATCAAGTTGGTGCTCTTTTGGGTGCTTCCCATTGGTCTTGATGTGGCAAAACAATTGAAAAACACCCAAAAAAACAAATTCCAAAACCTCATTTGAAAATATCATGTTGATTCTTGTGTTTGTGGTCTGTTATGATTTGTTATTTTTGTGTAGTGTCATTAATCTTCCAATTTCTCCCTCAAAATATAGAATAAAATGGACTTGGATGATGATGATTCAGAAGATGATGATGATTCTGAAGAAAGTGATGATGAGCCGCCAAAAAATACAAAGGTTAGTTTTTAATTGCATTCTTAGAGTTAGGGATCCATCATTTCTTGCTGTATGCTTTCATTCAACAGGCGAAGTTTTGTGCCAACAGGCAGCAACAGCTCAAAAGGAAAGTAGCAGTGAAGAGGAGAGCTCTAGCTCAGAGGATGAGGAAGATAGCGAGGATGAAAAGCCAGCGAAGACTCCAAAGAAAAATGTAATTGTACTTCTTTTTTTCAGTTATGATATATGGAATATTTACACTCATTAGTTTGAGATAAATTGGTTTGTTCTCCTGGAACAGGATGCTGATGTAGAAATGACTGATGCTGATACAAAGTCTTCTGTCAAAACTGTAATTCATCATTTTGCTTTTGGTTTTTCGTTTTTCGTTTTATAGCGCGTGCATGACTTTTGAATATTTTATTTTTTGCAGCCAAAGACACCTGTTACACCAGTTGCATCTGAGAATGCTGGATCAAAAACACTTTTTGTTGGCAACCTATCTTTTCAAGTTGAACGTGCTGATGTGTAAGTTCATATTTGAGCCTCCTGCCATTATTAAAGGTTTTTTGCACAATTCCAATCTGATTATTTTTTTTGCTGCAGGGAAAATTTCTTTAAAGAGGCTGGGGAAGTTGCTGATGTCCGCTTCGCCTTAGATGCAGATCAGAGGTTCAAGGGATTTGGACATGTTGAGTTTACCACAACTGAAGCAGCGCTTAAGGTTACATTTTTTTTTCATCTTCTTTTTTAAATTTATTTCTTTTGCAGTTGTCCTTGGTAATATGCACTGAGCTAGTTTTCATACAGTCCAAATCTGTAATTTTTGGTAGGAGCATAACGTTCTTTGTTTCTTGTTCAATGTTCATGTATAGTCCCAGTTTTTGGAAATCCAACTCACTTTGTTTTGTTCTGGTATTGATAGTGTTTAATTTAAAATTAAAATTTTTTCCTTTACTTTACAGGCTCTAAATTTTAATGGTAAAAGTTTGCTTGGGCGGGATGTCAGACTTGATTTGGCTCGTGAGAGGGGTGATCGGAGCTCAAATACACCATATAGCAAAGACAGCAACTCATTTCAGAAGGGAGGGAGAGGTCAATCCCAAACCATATTTGTTAAGGGATTTGACAAGTTTTGTGGGGAGGATGAGGTAATGATGTCCTGCTGTTTGATGGCTTTTAAAGTTTAGTTTTGAAGTCTTGAAATTTCTAAGAGAAGTGCTCATGGTGTTTTCAATCTAAATCTTTACAGATTAGGAGCTCTCTCCAGGAGCATTTTGGTTCTTGTGGGGAGATTACTAGGATATCTATTCCCACAGATTATGAGACTGGCGCTATTAAAGGGTTTGTTCCTTTTCTATTCCTGTCATGGATCCATGTTTCCTAATAAGATTACCAGTAGATTAACTGTTCCCCTGAATGATGTATTATTTTGTTTATTATCTCGGATCTTTTTTTAATTTAAACCATGTAGTGGCTAGTGGTATGTTGACATGTGCCTATCTCTTGATGAAACCAATTTCAGGATGGCTTACCTAGAATTCAATGATGCTGATGCTATGAACAAAGCATTTGAGCTTAATGGAAGTCAACTTGGAGAATCTTACCTAACTGTGGATGAAGCAAAACCAAGGAATGATAACCGTGATGGTCGGGATAGTGGCAGAGGTGGTGGCAGTGGTGGTCGTTTCAGTGGTGGCAGAAGCAGTGGTGGTCGTTTTGGTGGTGGCAGAAGCAGTGGTGGTCGTTTTGATAGTGGACGTGGTGGAAGAGGTGGTCGTGGACGTGGAACACCTTATAAACCCAGTGTGACTGCAGCTGCTTCAGGTAATGTTCACAAATCCCTTCTTTTTTATCTGAAGGAACTGAATATCTGTTTTCTGCCACGTAATAACTGCAACTGATCAGTGCGCTAACAATGAGGATTGTGCATGGTAACACTGTAAGTTCTGTTGTTGTGGACATTCAATCAATAAGCATCCATATATAAGTTCATCATATTGCAAGAACACAACGGTTTATTTTGGATTGACTGTAAGCCTCATGTAGAAGTGCATATGCTTTCGTGGTGAAATTTGTATATCTTGAACAGTTTTTGGGCTTAGTATTGTTTTATTCAACTTGGCATAGAAATAATTCTTAAGTTGCTCTGTTAACCCCATTTTTTTTCCCATGCAGGAACAAAGAAGAAATTCAATGATGAGGACTGAGGGAAGCAGATAGAGATTTTGAGGGCATCACCTTGCCTTGCCTCCCTTGAAGTACTATTAATTTTGGTAGTGTGCCGTCATAGAAGAAATTTTTTAACTTTGTTTTGATATGTTCTGTTTGATATTTAGGGGATGTTTCTTTTCTTGGCTACTGGCAAATCTCTTCGAGGGCCAGTATGACTAAAGCAACTGTGTTATGCGTAAATTTTTCATATTTTCAGTTATTACATTATGCTACCCGATTCTAGTAAAAATTCTGTGCCATCTCTTTGGCTGCGTTGCTTTGGTACCATATTATTGTGTTATGCGGAAGCTGCAGCCAATTGTTTATTGTTGTGTGAGGGGTTATACATTCGCATGTCCTCTTCGTCGCTGTGGTATCATATTATTGTGTTATGCCGAAGTCTTTTTTAAAAATATTTAATTTATTCACTATGATTGTATCTGGAAATTTATTTTGTAACTTGTTTTGATTGTGTGCATATAGGTGACTTTTATATACACCCAAGAAGTGGGAATAAAGTTCTTGTGTCAAGGCTCAGTTGATGTTTAATTTTTTCAAAAATAAATTAAAATGACGTGGATGTATAAAAATTAAGTGTTGAGGGACTAAAATTGAATTTGAAACAAAATACAAGGACTAGGGCGGGCGAATAGAACAACTAGGGTGGTGCGGGTTTCACTGAAGTTTTTAAGAGAATATATCTTTAAATAATGAATGACCTTTATATACACCTAAGAAGAGGGAATAAAGTTATTGTGTCAAGGTTCAGTTGATGTAAATTAAAATGACGTGGATGTATAAAAATTAAGTGTTGAGGGACTAAAATTGAATTTGAAACAAAATACAAGGACTAGGGCGGGCGAATAGAACAACTAGGGTGGTGCGGGTTTCACTGAAGTTTTTAAGAGAATATATCTTTAAATAATAAATGACCTTTATATACACCCAAGAAGAGGGTTTAGTTTTAAATAATACATAATTTTTGAGAGAGCAATACGAACGAAAAAACTCAAAATAAATACACATTCTAATTTTGTGCCGTCACCATATTTTATGACTAATTTAACAATGCCAACATTGTTTAGGAATCCAAGAGTTGACCACAGAAACACAATTTTATTGAGAACAAATCTCCTCACAAAGAAAGTTGGTTTGCATCAACAAAACCAAAACCCCATAACTTTCTCAAATCCAAACCTAAAACTCGCAAAACCAATGCTTCAAACACAGTAATGAAACCCTAAATCAAAAAATAAGTTTTTTATCATTAACTTATCCTTGTCAAACTATTCAAGCTCATGCTGGGTTTCTTCAGCCCTCCACCAAGAAATGTTAAAGTGGTTGACTGAGTTTCTTGCCCATCAAAAAAAAAAAACCTTTTTTGTTTTTATATTTTAGAAGTATTTCAGAAAAAAATTAATTTTAATTTTAAATTAATATTTTTTGATGTTTTTAAATTATTTTAATACACTGATATTAAAAATAGTTTTTTAAAAATAAAAAATATTATTTTAATATATTTTTAAATAAAAAATATTTTAAAAATTAATTTCAATCATACTCTCAAACAAATTAAAATTTCTCACAAGAAACAACAAATAAAAAAAAAATAGCTTCAATAATGTATTGTCGGTTTGCTGGATATTAAAAATGAAAAAAGAAGATTAACAGTTAGTAACGGTAACTAGGGATTTTTTAGTTTAGTGATGAAATTGCAATATTTAATTTTTAAAGTATCTTAAGTCATTAAATACTAATCCTGTAAATAATTCAATATTTTTGTTGAATTTCTTAGCACTTTAACTTGAAAATAGAAACTGTTATGGATATATAAACTTCATAATGCAAATTATAATTTCTAAAAAAAATGTGTGCATTGTGAAAAATAGTAAACCACATAACATCTTTTATAATTATCATTTTTTTAATATAAAACACACCCTGATAAATGATAATGCTGTAAATTGTTTTTTGGGTTATTTATTTATTTATTTATCCAGAGCGGAGAGCGGGTCAAGCTACTTGAGCTTGGTGACCGTATAGGTTAACATGAAGTTGAACGTACAATAACAGTTAAAAAAACAACGACGACTGCAGGTTCCACCCTTGTCCTTCCTTTTTCCCTTGGAATGAATCATCAAAGTCACTACCTTGACGTGAAAGGAAGAAAAACCAAAACCCCCAAAATTCTCAAAAGTCATGGACTAATTTTCACGAGAAAAACCTAACCACCACCACCACCACCACCACCAAAATGTCCTTTCAGTCACCGGAATCTTCACCTTCCTCGATCCTTCTAGAGGACTTCGGTCAAAAAGTCGACTTAACACGCCGTATCCGAGAAGTCCTCTTAAACTACCCCGAAGGCACCACAGTCCTCAAAGAACTAATCCAAAACGCCGACGATGCCGGCGCTACCGTGGTCCGTCTCTGCCTCGACCGGCGCCGCCACTCTACCACCTCACTCCTCTCTCCTTCTCTCTCTGCATTCCAAGGCCCGGCCCTCCTCTCCTACAATGACGCCGTCTTCACCGAAGAGGATTTCACTTCGATTTCGCGTATCGGAGGTAGTGTTAAGCACAATCAAGCTACTAAGACGGGCCGGTTTGGTGTTGGTTTCAATTCTGTCTATCATTTGACCGATTTGCCCTCCTTTGTCAGTGGGAATTACATTGTCATGTTTGATCCTCAAGGTGTTCATTTGCCCAATGTTAATTCTTCCAATCCTGGTAAACGTATTGATTTTGTAAGCACTAAAGCGATGTCATTTTATAGAGATCAGTTTGAGCCTTATGTCGTCTTTGGTTGTGATATGGAGAATCGGTTTTCGGGTTCGTTGTTTCGGTTCCCGTTGCGGGATTCGAATCAAGCGAAAGAAAGCAAGTTGTCAAGGCAGTCGTATGTCGAAAATGATGTGGTTTTGATGTTCGAACAGTTGTATAAAGAAGGGGTGTTTTCGTTGTTGTTTTTAAAGAATGTTTTGAGTGTTGAAATGTTTGTTTGGGACGAGGGAGATGTGGGGCAGAGGAAATTGTATTCATGTCGTGTTGGGAATCTGAGTGATGAGGTTGTGTGGCATCGGAAGGCAATTATGAGAATGTCCAAGGAAATGGACGGTGGTGGACAGGGGGACGTGATGAAGGATGGGTATTTAGTGGAGTTTGAGAGTGAGGAGGTTGTTGGTGATGGCGGGAGTGAAGTGAAGAAGAGGAGTGATAGGTTTTATGTTGTTCAAAGTATGGGGTCAGCGAAGAGCAGGATTGGAGAATTTGCAGCTACTGCATCGAAAGATTATGATATTCATTTGTTGCCGTGGGCGTCTGTTGCTGCTTGCTTGACTGATGGTTTGTCTGATGTAAGTTTCATATTATCTATGAATTCATAGTTTTCAAGTTTCTTTGCGTTTGAAGACAATGTTATTTTTTTTAGTTAGACTTTTAACTTACTTTTTTTTTAGTTCAATTTTCTGTTTTTAGTATAGTAACAGCTGTAGATATTCTTTTTGTGTGTTTAGATTTAGAGATGAAACTAGTTAAGCTCAGGTACGAGAATAAATTACTTAACGGAGAATATTGCTGCATGTTAGAACTGTGGATGAATTCAATTAATGGACTCTGTGAGCTGGGACTAAGTCTTGTTAAGTTGAGCCGTTAAATTTTTTCCCTTTATGATATCTCATGAATTGGATAGGAAACTGAATGGTCTGTATTCTTTTTTCCTTTTGTTTTCTCTCCTTGTTTGTTTGCCATTTTTTCTTCCATTGATGAGTTATTCTTAAGGAAAGCTGACATGATGCTTTATTTGATTGAATGCTTCACTGTCTTCCTTTTTAGGCCTCTCCTTCACAATATCAAAATCTTATTTTGTTGTAATGTAATTTTTAATAGAATGATGAGCTGAAGCTGGGTCAGGCATTCTGTTTTCTTCCACTCCCTGTAAGAACTGGATTGAATGTGCAAGTTAATGGATATTTTGAGGTTTCTTCAAACCGTCGTGGCATTTGGTATGGAGCTGACATGGACAGAAGTGGTAAAATTCGTTCCATCTGGAATAGGCTTCTTTTAGAAGATGTCGTGGCTCCTGCTTTTAGATATTTGCTGCTTGGTGTGCAACAATTACTAGGATCGACTGATTCTTACTACTCTCTATGGCCCACTGGTCCTTTTGAGGAGCCATGGAGCATTTTAGTTGAGCATATATACAAGAGAATTGGTGATGCACCAGTTTTGCATTCAGATGTTGAAGGAGGACAGTGGGTGACTCCTGTTGAAGCCTTCCTTCATGATGAAGAGTTCCCTAAAAGCAAGGAACTTGGTGAGGCCCTTCTGCAGCTAGGAATGCCTGTTGTCCGTTTGCCCAATGTCTTGTTTAATATGATTCTGAAATATGCTTCAGCTTTTCAGCAGAAAGTGGTTACTCCTGATACAGTGCGCGATTTTCTTAGGCAGTGCAAGATTGTTGGGTCGTTGAACAAGTCTTACAGGCTTGTATTGTTGGAATATTGTCTCGAAGACTTAATTGACGCTGATGTTGGTAAGAATGCAAGCAATTTGCCACTGCTTCCTTTGGCAAATGGTGACTTTGGGTTACTGTCTGAAGCTTCTAAAGGGAGCTTGTTTTTCATTTGCAGTGATTTAGAGTGCATGCTACTTGAACGAATTTCCGATAAAATAATTGATCGTGATATTCCTCCTAACTTGCTTCACAGACTTTCCGCCATTGCAAAGTCATCAAAATCAAATCTTGCTATATTCAGCATTCAGTATTTTCTCAAGTTTTTCCCTAATTTCTTACCAGCCTCTTGGAGATATAAAAGCAAGGTTTTGTGGAACCCAGAGTCTTCTCACGATCATCCAACATCATCATGGCTTGAGCTGTTTTGGCAATATCTCCGAAATCATTGTGAAAAATTATCCTTGTTTGGAGATTGGCCAATCTTGCCATCCACAACTGGACATCTGTACAGGCCTTCTAGACAGTCGAAACTAATTAATGCAGATAAACTTCCTGTTTTTATCCGAGACATCCTTGTTAAGATTGAATGCAAGATACTCAATCCTGCTTATGGAGTTGAACATCCAGATTTGTCGCTTTATGTGTGTGATGCTGATTGTGCAGGGGTAGTGGAATCAATTTTTGATGTTGTGTCTTCAGCTGGTGGCATAGCACGAACTTCATTTGACAATTTGAGCCCCGAAGACAGAGATGAGCTTCGTGGGTTTCTTCTTGCTCCAAAGTGGTACATGGGAGATTGCATTGATGGATTCATCATAAGGAATTGTAGGAGGCTTCCCATTTATAGAGTTCATGGTGAAGGACCTGTTGAAGGTGCCATTTTCTCTGATTTAGAAAATCCTCAAAAGTACTTACCTCCTTTAGAAGTTCCTGATAATTTTTTGGGCCATGAGTTTATTGCAAGCTCCTCAAATATTGAAGAAGATATTTTGTTAAGGTATTATGGAGTTGAGAAAATGGGGAAGGCACCCTTCTACCGGCAGCAGGTGTTCAATAATGTTAGAATCTTGCAACCTGAAGTTCGAGACAGAACCATGCTTTCTGTTCTGCAAAATTTGCCACAGCTTTGCGTTGAGGATGCATCTTTCAGGGAATGTTTGAGAAATTTGGAATTTGTGCCAACATTTAGTGGTACTCTGAAGCATCCTTCAGTGCTATATGATCCTCGTAATGAAGAGTTATGGGATTTATTAGAAGAATCTGATAGTTTCCCTTGTGGTGCTTTCCAAGAACCTAACATTTTGGACATGCTACATGGTTTGGGTCTCAGAACAACTGCTTCTCCTGAGACAGTAATAGAAAGTGCTCGACAAGTGGAACGACTAATGCATGAGGATCAGCAAAAAGCACATTCTAGAGGCAAAGTGCTTCTATCCTACTTGGAAGTAAATGCAATGAAGTGGCTTCCCAACCAATTAAATGATGATGACAGAACTGTGAACAGAATTTTTTCACGAGCTGCAACTGCATTTAGGCCTCGTGGCTTGAAATCTGACCTTGAAAAGTTCTGGAATGATCTGCGGATGATTTGTTGGTGTCCAGTAATGGTTACTGCTCCGTTCAAAACTTTACCATGGCCTATTGTGAGATCCATGGTTGCTCCTCCAAAGCTTGTAAGATTACAGGCAGACTTATGGCTTGTTTCAGCTAGCATGAGGATACTGGATGGAGAATGCTCTTCCACTGCATTATCATACAATCTCGGATGGTTATCTCCACCTGGAGGCAGTGCAATTGCTGCCCAGTTACTAGAGCTTGGAAAGAACAATGAGATTGTGAATGATCAGGTGCTCCGGCAGGAATTAGCCTTGGAAATGCCAAAAATATACTCAATAATGACAAGCTTGATTGGTTCGGATGAGATGGATATTGTGAAGGCTGTTCTAGAAGGATCTCGTTGGATATGGGTGGGAGATGGTTTTGCTACTGCAGATGAGGTTGTTCTCGATGGTCCTCTTCACTTGGCTCCTTATATACGTGTTATACCCATGGATCTGGCTGTTTTCAAAGAATTATTTTTGGAGCTCAACATTCGAGAATATTTTAAGCCCATGGATTATGCAAATATTTTGGGCAGAATGGCTATGAGAAAAGGTTCCTCTCCTCTGGATACACAGGAAATTAGGGCAGCCATACTGATTGTTCAGCATCTGGCTGAAGTCCAGTTTCATGAACAAGTCAAGATCTATTTACCAGATGTTTCAGGAAGACTATTCCCTGCCACAGATCTAGTTTATAACGATGCCCCCTGGTTGCTTGGCTCAGATAATTCTGACAGTTCATTTGGTGGTGCATCTACTGTGGCCTTACATGCAAAGAGAGCAGTTCATAAATTTGTCCATGGGAACATCTCTAATGAAGTAGCTGAGAAGCTCGGTGTGTGCTCACTTCGTAGGATCTTGCTTGCAGAGAGTTCTGATTCAATGAACTTGAGTTTATCTGGTGCTGCTGAAGCCTTTGGACAGCATGAGGCGTTAACAACAAGACTTAAACATATACTTGAGATGTATGCTGATGGACCTGGGATTCTTTTCGAGCTGGTTCAGAATGCTGAGGACGCTGGAGCTTCTGAGGTGATATTTCTTTTGGATAAAACTCAGTATGGTTCTTCATCTGTTCTGTCTCCTGAAATGGCTGATTGGCAAGGTCCTGCATTGTATTGTTTCAACAACTCAGTGTTCAGTTCACAAGATCTTTATGCAATCTCGCGTATTGGTCAAGAAAGCAAACTAGAAAAACCTTTTGCAATTGGACGATTTGGACTTGGATTTAATTGTGTCTATCACTTTACAGATATTCCAACATTTGTTTCTGGGGAAAATGTTGTTATGTTTGATCCTCATGCCTGTAATTTACCTGGCATTTCTCCTTCACACCCTGGTTTACGAATTAAGTTCACTGGGAGAAAGATCTTGGAACAATTTCCAGATCAGTTTTCTCCATTTCTACACTTTGGATGTGATTTGCAGCATCCATTTCCAGGCACCCTCTTCCGTTTCCCCCTTAGGAGCTCTACTGTTGCTAGGCGTAGTCTGATAAAGAAAGAAGGATATACACCAGAAGATGTCATGTCCCTCTTTGCTTCTTTCTCTGGGGTTGTTTCTGATGCTTTGCTTTTTCTACGCAATGTGAAAAATATCTCCCTTTTTGTGAAGGAAGGGAATGGTTCTGAAATGCAACTCCTACATCGTGTGCAACGAAATTGCATAACTGAGCCTGAAATGGAACCAGGTGCTGTGAATAACATGTTTAGCTTTGTCAATGGAAGTCAGTATAGTGGACTGGATAAAGATCAGTTGCTGAAAATATTGAGCAAGTCTGTGGATAAAAATCTGCCCCACAAATGTCAGAAGATTGTGGTGACAGAGAAAAATTCATCTGGTGTCATTTCTCATTGCTGGATAACTGGTGAATGCTTAGGCAGTGTTCGTGCTAAGAGCTTCTCTGCAGTTGCTAATGATTCTCATGAATCAATTCCCTGGGCTTCTGTTGCTGCTTATATACACTCTGTCAAGGTGGTGGATGGGGAATTAAGTGACATCTCAAACATTGAGGGTGCTTGTACTTCTGAAACGTTTCAAGTTTCTACAACTTCCATTGAAAATAGGAAGAATTTTGAAGGCCGTGCCTTCTGCTTTCTGCCACTTCCTATCAGTACTGGTCTTCCAGCTCATATTAATTCCTACTTTGCATTGTCATCCAACAGGAGGGACATCTGGTTTGGTAATGACATGGCAGGGGGTGGAAAAAAAAGATCAGACTGGAATATTTACCTTCTTGAAGATGTTGCTGCCCCTGCTTATGGTTACTTGCTAGAAAAAATTGCATCAGAGATTGGCCCATGTGATTTATTTTTTTCATTTTGGCCAATGGAAACAGGATTGGAACCTTGGGCATCAATGGTGCGGAAGCTATACAATTTTATTGCTGAATCTGGTCTTCGTGTATTGTTTACTAAAGCTAGAGAAGGCCAGTGGATATCAGCCAAACAAGCACTGTTTCCTGATTTTACATTTCATAAGGTACATGAGCTTGTAGAAGCATTATCAGATGCTGGTCTACCTCTGGTGAGTGTTTCCCAGCCACTTGTAGAGCAATTCATGGAGGCCTGCTCATCATTGAAATTTCTGACCCCTCAGTTTTTAATGACTCTGCTGATTCGGCGGAGACGTGGATTCAAGGACAGAGGTGGCATGATTGTGACCCTTGAATATTGTTTACTTGATTTACAAGTTCCTGTGCAGGTTGATATTTTGTATGGCTTACCACTATTACCTCTATCTGATGGTTCATTTGCTACATTTGAAAAGAATGGGACTGGTGAAAGAATTTATATTGCCCGGGGGGGTGAATATGGTCTCCTCAAGGATTCAGTTCCCCACCAACTTGTGGATCTTGAAATTCCAGAAGCTGTTTTCGGAAAGTTATGTGATTTAGCTGAGAGCAAGAAGTCAAATATTTCTTTTTTGTCTTGCAGTTTGCTTGAGAAACTGTTTTTGAAATTACTTCCAGCAGAATGGCAGCTCTCTAGTAAGGTTGTTTGGACTCCTGGTCATCAGGGCCACCCGAGTTTAGAATGGATGAGATTGTTGTGGAGCTATCTGAATTCATGTTGTGATGACCTCTTAATATTTGCAAAGTGGCCAATATTGCCAGTTGGAGACAATATTCTTTTGCAGTTAGTTCCAAATTCAAAGGTGGTCAAAGATGATGGGTGGAGTGAGAACATGTTGTCTTTGTTATTAAAAGTAGGATGTCTCTTCTTGAGGCATGACTTAACAATAGAACATCCAAAGCTGGAAAATTTTGTACAGCCCCCAACAGCAGCAGGCATCTTAAATGCATTTCTGGCACTTGCCGGTAAACCAGAGAACATTGAGGGGCTTTTTAGTGATGCATCAGAAGGGGAGCTGCATGAATTACGGAGTTTTGTTCTCCAGTCCAAGTGGTTCTCTGAAGAGAGCATGACTGACATCCATATTGAAATCATTAAACATCTTCCTATGTTCGAGGCATACAAAAGTAGAAAACTTGTTAGTCTGTGCAAACCTAACCAATGGCTTAAACCAGATGCTGTTCGGGATGATCTCTTGGATGATGATTTTGTTCGTGCTGATTCTGAGAGAGAGAGAATTATTCTAAGAAGGTATTTAGAGATCAAAGAGCCTTCAAGAGTGGAATTTTACAAAGTTTATGTACTCAATCGAATGTCAGAATTTATCTCATGTCAGGGGGCTCTTACAGCTATTCTACATGATGTGAAGCTTTTGATTGAAGATGATATTTCCATCAAATCTGCACTTTCCATGACACCTTTTGTTTTGGCAGCCAATGGATCATGGCAACAGCCATCAAGGTATGTATTTTTCCAATCACCGATATGAGATTTATATTCATTTATCTATGAGTACAAGTTGTTAATATCTTAAGGAGGCTTTTTGATGATCAAACTATTCATATTATGTCACTGATTTATTTCTTTCCCCATTTTATGCATTATATATTGATTATATCACTCCTAACAACAGTATAGTACAATTGGCTCGCTTGTAATTTATAACTGGCTCTTGCTTGCTGTATGAGCTGTTGTCATTATAAGTATCGCTACTTTTTCTCAAATCATATTTTTATCCAAAGAAAAGCTTAAAGTTTTGGGCTAATTTTTGCAGAATAGTAGCTTAATAAACTAGCAATTCTATCTCCTCTACTTGCAGCTTAATTTTTACCATACGATAGTTTTGTTTTTCTTCAATGTTTTTTGCAGGCTTTATGATCCTCGTATTCCCCATCTACGAAAGGTGCTTCATAGAGAAGCATTTTTTCCTTCTAATGAATTCTCAGATCCTGAAACACTGGAGACCCTAGTTAAACTTGGACTTAAAAAGAATCTGGGTTTTACTGGTTTTCTTGATTGTGCTAGATCGGTTTCAATGTTGCATGAATCTAGGGACTCGGAAACAGTGAGTTATGGAAGGAAGTTGGTTGCCCTTTTGGATGCTCTTGCACATAAGCTCTTGGCTGAGGAGGGAGAATGCAACCGCAATGAATTGCAGAAAACTGTTTTATGTCAGAATAGCAGCGATTGGAACAGTGATCTTGCGTATCTTGACTCTCCTGGGAGAGATAAGGATCAGTTTATAGATGACCTGGAGATTGACTATTTCTTAGCCAACTTGAGTGATGATAAAACAGAAGAAGAATTCTGGTCTGAAATGAAGGCCATATCTTGGTGCCCTGTTTGTGTTCATCCACCTCTACAAGGATTACCATGGTTAAATTCTAATAGCCAAGTAGCATCACCGAGCAACGTGAGACCTAAATCTCAAATGTGGGTAGTGTCCTGCACAATGCATGTACTAGATGGTGATTGCGACTCCCTGTATCTACAACACAAACTTGGTTGGATGGATTGTCCTGGCATAAATGTTTTAACTATGCAATTGACTGAGCTATCCAAGTCCTATGAGCAGCTTAAGCTGGGGTCTTCTATAGGACCTGATTTTAATGATGCAGTGCAGAGTGGAATTCTGGCACTTTATTCCAGATTACAAGAATATGTTGGTACTGATGATTTCACACTGATGAAATCAGCTCTTAGCGGTGTTTCTTGGGTTTGGATCGGTGATGACTTTGTACCCCCAGACGTACTTGCATTTGATTCACCAGTTAAATTTACCCCATATTTGTATGTTGTCCCATCAGAGATATCAGATTTTAGAGAATTGCTCTTGGGATTAGGTGTGAGACTCAGTTTTGATATTTGGGATTACTTTCATGTGCTGCAGCGCTTACAAAATAATGTGAAAGGCTTTCCCCTATCAACTGATCAGCTAAGTTTTGTCCATCGTGTCCTTGAAGCTGTCGCAGACTGTTTCTCAGACAAGCCAATGTTTGAGGCTTCTAATTCAGCATTGCTGATTCCAGATTCTTCCGGAGTTCTGATGTGTGCTGGGGATCTTGTTTACAATGATGCACCATGGATAGAAAACAACACTCTGATTGAGAAGCATTTTGTACATCCAAGCATCAGCAATGATCTGGCAAACAGACTAGGGGTGAAATCACTTCGATGCCTCTCTTTGGTAGATGATGATATGACTAAAGATCTGCCATGCATGGACTTCGCTAAATTAAATGAACTTTTAGCATTGTATGGAAACAATGATTTCTTGTTGTTTGATCTTCTTGAGGTGGCAGATTGCTGCAAAGCTAAAAAGCTACACTTGATCTTTGACAAGAGGGAACATCCTCGGAACTCTTTGCTGCAGCACAATTTAGGTACGTGTTCTTGAACATCCTCGGAACTCTTTGCTGCATCATCTGTATTATTCAAAGAAAATTTTATCACATATTAAAGAATTTCTTCTAGAAATCCCACAAGTTCATTGAACTTTGAAGGCAACCTTACATGGTTTTGTTGGTTTGAGTCCTCACTAGTTTGTGAGTTTTGATTTGAAGTTTCATTATGAGTTATTGTTGAATAAGCAGCGGCGGTATCATAATATTTTTTCAAATTGCTTGGGGTTTTGAAGACATGGTTGCTTGGTATGTGTTTGCTTTCTTCACTTATGGGCTCTTCATTCGTCTTCACTTTCCCCAAATCTTATCACCATGGTGCCTTGAGTTATTGCTCAAGGCAACCTGGCTTCTGTCGAGTTCCCTCCTTTTCCCACACTAATCAGCCTTCAAACTCATCGCATCATTTTGCCTTTGTAAACCTCAACTTTTGCATATTCTTCATCTCTTACATAAAGCACCATCTACAAACCCAAAACAATTTATATATTTCTAGACACTAGCATTTTCTCCAATAACTAAAACATGCAAAGAAAAACAAAAAGAAAGAAAGAAGGAAAGAAAGAAAGAAGCACATTCAACCATGCAAACAGAACTTAAATCTCAATCTTTAGCCTGTCTCCAAAAATATGAAGCCTGATCTCTCCAATTCATTGATTTATCAGGCAGAGTCATTATTTTCCTGCCATATCCAAACGTAAACATTATACACATTTTGAAGTTAGAACTGTAAATTCCCCAATTTAACAAATCTAGCCCATTACTAATACATGAGCAAATACATCTCCAAACTGTCCACCAGTTTTGTTTTTATATTGCCTGAATTTTTGTCTAGGCTTATTATTGTTGTGCATTGGAGCATTGCTCGGAGGATTGGTTTCAGAATTGTGGTTTGTGCAGGTGAATTTCAAGGGCCTGCTCTAGTTGCCATTTTGGAAGGCGTCAGCTTGAATAGAGAGGAAGTAGGCAGCCTCCAGCTTCTCCCTCCATGGAGACTTCGGGGTGATACAGTTAATTATGGGCTGGGACTTCTTAGCTGTTACTTTATATCTAATCTTCTGTCCATTATTTCTGGGGGCTACTTTTACATGTTTGATCCTTGTGGTCTGGCACTTGGTGCCCCTTCAAGTCATGCTCCAGCTGCAAAAATGTTTTCTTTGGCAGGTATTTTTTTTATTCACAGAGTAGGCTAGGTTGATTAGTGTTTTTTACTGCTTTGCTTATGGATGTCCCCAACCCTGCTTTATCCTTTTTAAGATGTTTCCTTATGTTTTAAATTTGATTTCAAGCACATACCACTTTTAGGAAGAGAAATGTGAAGCAAGCAAGATTCTATTTTGACTTTGTGTCTTCATGTGGTACCAGGTACTAATTTGACCGAGCGTTTTTGTGATCAATTTAAACCTATGTTAATTGGTGAAGGCATGCCATGGTCATCATTAGATTCTACCATTATCCGCATGCCTCTATCATCAGAATGCCTTAGGGATGGACTTGAACTGGGATTGAAGAGAGTAAAGCAAATATGTGATCGATTTATGGAGCACGCATCCAGAACACTTATTTTCTTAAAGTCAGTTTTGGAGGTATTAATTTTAGTTTAGCCAGTTATGATTTCGTGTGCTTTCAGTGGTTAGTTGCGAACTTTACTGTGGAAATATTTTTAATTGTTCTTTTTTCTTTTGTATTCAATAATGAATCATGATTTATATCAACCATTTCCTTGTCTTTGGATCATATTATGTAACCTTCTGCCATGTATGGAGAAGGCGGAATTGCAGGGACATTTAGTTTTTGCTCAAGGAGCTCATACATCATGCAATTATTTACTTAAGAAATCAATTAAATCATACAGGTGAAGCAAGACAATTGAATCACAAGTAATCGTCAACTGGAATATTGATTTGGTATCGTCTCTGATCATTGGTTTACCCCATTTGGGGCTTGTAGATAAACATTGGCATCCATGAAAATTTATCATGTTCTGAAAATGATCTTCGTTTGGATACTGAGAGGTATCAGAAGATATCATGTTCTGAAACTGGATCCTTGTTTGGTTGAGTTAAGAGATGGTAATCTATGAATGTTATGATATACTTGCAATTGTCATCATCATTTGCTTAGTGAGAGTTTTCTTCCGATATCCTTGTTGGATTACCAATCACTGTCTTCATTAGAAAAGCAACCTTTCACGTGGCTCAAGCTTACTTACTAAGCGTAGGCTTGTCTGGTTTTTTTCTCCAAAGTTTGCGGGACCCTGCTCAAATGGCTGTATTGGTGAGATCCAACAGTGAAGAGCTGCCCAAAGCAGTCGGATCAGAACGAAATGGGGAAGACCCTACCCATGTTGGATTACCAATCATTGCCTTCACAGTTCACCTGACGTGGGAATTGGCAGTTGTCTTTACAACCTTAGGTGCAATAACATTTAAACATAAATGCACTCCTGTAATTATTCAGAGATTGAAGGAAATTGTAGCTGCTTTGTAATTTTGATTGTATAAAATTAAATCTGCAATTTTTGTTATATAGATTTAATTTTCTTTTTTTCCATTTTGTTAATATTTTTCCCAGTAAACCCTAAATTGACATATAGAAACACTGGATACATTTTTTTAGGTTTCTCTCTACACATGGGATGAAGGCCGTGCCAAACCTTGCCAGGACTATTCAGTTTCTGTTGATTTATCATCTGCTACCATGAGGAATCCATTTTCGGAAAAGAAGTGGAGGAAATTTCAATTATCAAGGTTATTTAGTAGCTCAAATGCTGCGGTTAAACTGCATGTGATAGATGTCAGTTTATACCAAGGATCTGCTACAGTTGTTGATCGATGGCTTGTTGTGCTTAGCCTGGGTTCCGGGCAAACAAGAAATATGGCTCTTGATAGGTATGCTAGGTGCAAAATTCTTCTGACACTTTCGTTTTTGATCAACTGCTGCATTTGAAAATCAAAGGTGAAAATCGAAGCATCGTTTTATATAAATTTGTTTCATGTCTTTTTAATTTAATTTGGATATTTCCTGGAACTTCTGCAAAGGTAGAAATTTTCTTTTGGCAATCTTATCCATTAACACATAGTAATTTCATCATTATCAGCTGGAGCATAGTCTCTGCCCCCCTCCCCTCCTGCCTTTTGCCTAAGTTATATAAAATGAAATCTGTTGGACTGAAACCTGATTGTTGTTTTGCATTGTTTCACTTAGGCGATATCTTGCATACAACTTGACTCCCGTTGCGGGAGTTGCAGCACATATTTCAAGAGATGGATGTCCTGGTGATCTATATCCAAAGAGCTCTGTCATGTCCCCTCTTCCTTTATCTGGCAGTATAGCACTACCTGTCACTGTCCTTGGATGTTTCCTTGTGCGTCATAATAGTGGTCGTTCTCTCTTTAAGTACCAGAAGAAGGTAGCTTCAGAAGCACAGGTTGACGCTGGAGATCAGTTGATTGAAGCTTGGAACAAAGAATTGATGTCTTGTGTTCGTGATTCCTACATTGAAATGGTGGTGGAAATGCAAAAAATAAGAAAAGATCCTTTGACTTCAGCTATTGAATCAAGTGCAGGTTGTGCAGTTTCTTTGTCTTTGAAGGCATATGGCGATCTAATATATTCCTTCTGGCCAAGGTCTACTGGGCTTGCGATGGTTAATCAACCTGGAGAAGCCTTAGTATCGACAGAAGTGCCTAAAGCAGATTGGGGATGCCTGATTGAAGAAGTAATAAGGCCATTCTATGCTCGGGTTGCTGATCTTCCTTTGTGGCAGCTGTACACAGGAAACCTGGTTAAGAGTGGAGAGGGTATGTTTCTTTCACAGCCTGGGAATGGTGTGGGTGGTAGTTTACTTCCAGCTACTGTGTGTGGCTTTGTGAAGGAACATTATCCAGTGTTTTCTGTACCATGGGAGTTGGTGACAGAAATTCAGGCAGTGGGGGTTACAGTTCGAGAAATAAAACCTAAAATGGTTAGGGATCTTCTTAAGATGTCATCAACTTCTATTGTTCTTCGATCAGTTGATACCTACGTGGATGTTCTTGAGTACTGCTTATCTGATATCGAGTTTCCAGGATCATCTGGTTTTGATAGAGATGATGCAACACTGAACTCTCTCAACTCCAGTACCATGCATAGAGCAAGTAGTGAAGCAAGCAGTAGTTTTGCTTCATCATCATTGCCTAATCTACGGGGTTTTCATGGCTCATCTGCTCAGAGTGCAGACAGTTCAGGAGATGCTCTTGAAATGGTGACAAGTTTGGGGAAGGCTTTATTTGATTTTGGCCGGGGAGTTGTTGAAGATATTGGTAGGGCTGGAGGGCCTTTAATTCAGCGGAATGCCATTTTAGATGGCATTGGTGCAAATGTAGATCCAAAGATTCTATCAATAGCTGCTGAGCTTAAAGGGTTACCGTGCCCAACTGCAACTAATCATTTAACTAGGTTCGGGGTAACTGAGCTTTGGTTTGGGAACAAGGATCAACAGGCGTTGATGATGTCTTTGGCAGCAAAGTTCATCCATCCAAAAGTACTGGATAGATCTTTACTGTTTGATATATTCTCAAGAAATGCCATACAAACATTATTAAGACTGAAGAGTTTCTCTCTCCACTTACTGGCAAGTCATATGAAATTACTTTTTCATGAGAACTGGGTGAATAATGTAACGGGGTCAAATATGGTTCCATGGTTTTCATGGGAGAGTACTTCGAGTTCTGGTGGTGAAGGGGGTCCTTCTCATGAATGGTTAAGGTTGTTTTGGAAGTGTTTTGGTGCGTCTTCGGGAGACCTCTCACTCTTTTCTGATTGGCCTCTAATTCCTGCTTTTCTTGGGAGGCCCATCTTATGCCGTGTAAAGGAGCGTCATCTGGTCTTCGTTCCTCCCATTAAACAAACATCATCTGGAAATAGTGTTGTGGATGCAGGTAGCACAGGAAGTGATATGACTGGATTGTCCACAAATCATACCCCTGAATCTGAATCTGAATCAGTCCAGTCTTACATTGCTGCTTTTGAAGTTGCCAAAAATAGGTATCCTTGGCTGTTGTCACTGTTGAACCAGTGCAACGTACCTATTTTTGACACTGCTTTCATAGACTGTGCTGTTTCATGCAATTGTCTCCCTGCATCTAGTCAGTCCTTGGGAGAAGTGGTTGCTTCCAAGCTTGTTGCAGCAAAACATGCTGGCTATTTCCCTGAACTTGCATCATTTTCAGCTTCAGATAGTGATAAACTTGTTACTTTTTTTGCTCAGGATTTCCTTTATAATGGTTCTACGTACAGAGCTGAAGAACTTGAAGTACTGTGTGGTTTGCCTATATATAAAACAGTTGTGGGATCCTATACACGATTGCATGCCCAAGATCACTGTATGATCTCTTCTAGCTCATTCCTTAAGCCATCTGATGAGCGTTGTCTCTCGTATTCAACAGATTCAATTGAGTGTTCATTATTACGGGCTCTTGGGGTTCCTGAATTGCATGATCAACAGATTTTGATGAGGTTCGGACTGCCGGATTTTGAAGGCAAACCTCAGTCCGAACAGGAGGATATATTAATATATCTTTACACAAATTGGCAAGACCTCCAAGCAGATTCTTCTTTACTAGAAGTTTTGAAGGACACCAAGTTTGTTAGGAATGCAGATGAATTTTCCCTAGATCGCTCGAGGCCCAAGGATCTGTTTGATCCTGGTGATGCTCTATTAACATCTGTGTTCTCTGGTGAGAGAAAGAAATTTCCTGGAGAAAGGTTTAGTACTGATGGGTGGCTTCGCATTTTAAGAAAAACTGGTCTTCAAACTGCAACAGAAGCAGATGTAATACTTGAATGCGCTAAAAGAGTAGATTTCCTTGGAAGTGAGTGCATGAAATCTTCAGGGGATTTTGATGATTTCGGGACCAACGTAAGTCACAGCTGCGATAAGGTTACTATGGAGATATGGACATTAGCAGGATCTGTTGTTGAAGCCGTGCTCTCAAACTTTGCTGTCCTTTATGGCAACAGCTTCTGTAATCAACTTGGCAAGATTGCTTGTGTGCCGGCTGAACTAGGATTTCCTAATGTTGGTGGCAAGAAAGTGCTTGCTTCATATAGTGAAGCTATTGTGTCAAAAGATTGGCCTTTGGCTTGGAGTTCTTCTCCCATCATCTCTAGACAAAATTTTGTGCCACCTGAGTACTCATGGGGAGGGCTCCAGCTGAGGAGCCCTCCAGCCTTTTCTACTGTCCTAAAGCATTTGCAGGTAATAGATCATATTGTTCTTCTATGTTTTTCCAAGAGTGCTAGTTCATGCCAGTGTAGATGTAGCTAACATGGATGCATCTCAGGTGATTGGAAGAAATGGAGGTGAAGACACTCTTGCTCACTGGCCAACTTCTTCAGGCATGATGACAGTTGATGAAGCTTCTTGTGAAGTGTTGAAGTACCTGGATAAGGTTTGGAGTTCCCTCTCTTCTTCAGGTACTCCACTGTTACTCCTGCTATTTAACTTCCTCATACATGGTCCCTATCCTTTACATAAATGATATTTTTTTTGGAATTCTTTTGAAAAGTTAGGATTAACATGAAAATAAGTATAACCTTTTTTCTTTTGAAGGTAAAAAAATGCTCCTTACCATTCAGCAAATGATTCTTGGTTACTGTCTGTGGTAATAACTTGTTTATTAAGTTTCATGATGAACTATGGCTTATTTGTCAGTTTTCCATCTACCAGTGGTAGGATCATCCAAATGGATAGTACCCACTTTTATATGATTTCTAAATTATTCTTCTTTAGCAAGAATTAAGCTATTACTTTTGATCGTGCTGCATCAAAATTTCTACAATTTATAGACATACCATTAGTTGTTAAATGAAATACCAGTGGTAGGATCATCCAAATGGATAGTACCTCTCTCCTTATCTTTTATTTATGTTTATGCAGATAGAGAAAACTTGCAGAGAGTGGCATTTCTGCCTGCTGCCAATGGAACACGCTTGGTCACAGCAAACTCTCTTTTTGTGCGTCTGACAATTAATCTGTCACCATTTGCGTTTGAACTTCCTACTTCGTATCTTCCCTTTGTGAAAATTCTCAAGGAAGTGGGACTTCAGGACATGCTTTCAGTTGCTGCTGCAAAGAATCTTCTAACAGATCTCCAAAAGACTTGTGGATATCAGCGTTTAAACCCAAATGAACTCCGTGCTGTGATGGAAATTTTGTTTTTTCTCTGTGACTCGACTGTTGAGGGAAACATGTCTGATTGGAAAAACTGGACATTAGATGCAATAGTCCCAGATGATGGATGTAGACTGGTCCATGCAAAATCATGTGTATATATTGATTCTTATGGTTCCCGATATGTCAAATATATTGACACTTCCAGGTTAAGATTTGTTCATGGAGATCTTCCTGAGAGAATTTGTATAGTTTTGGGCATCAGAAAGCTATCAGATGTTGTAATAGAGGTAAATTACTTGATTTTCTGAAAGTTTCTTTTGAATTTGTTTGCAGTTCAGTTTTATACATCTCCGATGATAACTTCCATATTTACTTGGCAAGATCTGTTTCTGTTTGCAGGAACTTGATAAAGAAGATGATTTGCATACAATGGAATATATTGGATCCGTCTCTGTGGCATTCATCAGAGAGAAACTGTTGAGCAGATCATTTCAGGGTGCTGTATGGACTCTTGTAAATAGCATAGCTAATTACTTCCCTGCAAGAAATACTGTACCTTTGGAAACATTACGAACGTTACTGGAATCTGTTGCTGAAAAGCTGCAGTTTGTTAAAATCCTCCAAACTCATTTTATGCTCCTTCCAAAGTCTTTGGATGTCACTCGTGTAGCTAAGGATTCTATTATTCCAGATTGGGAGAATGGATCCAAGCATCGTACTCTTTACTTTATGAACCGATCAAGGACTTCTATTTTTGTTGCTGAACCACCTACTTATGTATCTGTACTTGATGTTGTTGCAATTGTTGTAAGCGAGGTCTTAGGCTCCCCTACCCCATTACCTATAGGAACCCTATTTTTATGTCCTGAAGGCTCAGAAAGTGCAATTCTCAATATTCTGAAACTTTCTTCTGACAAGAGAGACATGGAACCCACAAGTAATAAACTGGTAGGCAAGGAACTACTTCCTCCCGATGCTCTTCAAGTGCAACTTCATCCATTAAGACCATTTTATAGAGGAGAGTTAGTGGCATGGCGGTCTCAAAATGGAGAAAAGTTGAAGTATGGTAGAGTTCCAGAGGATGTTAGACCATCAGCTGGCCAAGCACTCTACAGATTCAAGGTGGAAACTGCACCAGGGGTTGTAGAGCCTCTTCTTTCTTCACAAGTATTCTCGTTTAAAGGCATATCAATGGGAAATGAGGCTACTTCCTCATCAACTTTACCAGATGATAGTCATACAGTAGTTGATAAGAGGAATGCCAATGATGTGCCGGAAAGTTCTGGAACAGGCAGAACAAGGTCTTCTCAGGTGCGGGCATTCAACTTCTTGACCTTAGATTTTTCATTGGTTGCACGAGATATCATACTAATCTTATTGTTGTTGGAATTTTATGGATACATTAATGTTATACTCATGTTGCATGTAGTCGATTTCAATTCCCATTCAAGGCTCATTTAGATTTTTCAGATACATTAATGTTATACTCATGTTGCATTTGTCGATTTCAATTCCCATTCAAGGCTCATTTAGATTTTTCGAGTCTTGTCAGGTTGCCAGACTAATATAGTATTTTATTGACTTTCCTAGTTCATTATAAGCAGGAATTATTCTTTCCCTTCCTGAGTTTAGTGAAGGTAGGGAGTATAGGGGAGATGAGGAAAGGTGGTCATTTTTGTCTTTGAGGATTTTGTGCCTGTAAAATTGAAAGAAAGCATCTTCAAATGATTAATGGTCAAATTTTCCTTCGATTTAAAATGTTTGGCAAAGGACAGCATGTTATTTTGATTGTTCAAAACTAATTATCATTGATACTTAGCAAGGTAATGCTGTTATGGAAACCATTGGTAATGATTTTGAGCATTGGTCAATTGTATTAGCTGGATCTATTCAAGTAGTTAGCTGAAGATACTTTTTTAATGTCAGCTGCAGGGTGGCAAAGAGCTCCACCGAGTGTCACCTGCAGAACTTGTTCAAGCGGTTCATGAGATGCTTTCTGAAGCAGGGATCAGCGTGGACGTGGAAAAGCAATCTCTTTTAAAAAGAACATTAACTCTGCAAGAACAATTGAAAGAGTCTCAGGCCGCACTTTTGCTCGAGCAGGTTTGTGACATGCAATTTCAAAACTCACTGTGACTATGCAGTGTCATTGTATCTATAGAAATCAGTTCTGGTTTGGAGTTTAAATTTCACAACAAAATTGTTTCTTCTGAAAACTCAACTGACAGTTTCACCTGGCAAGATATATAATGAAAATTTCATGTTGATAAATTCTTGATACGGGACATTGCAGGAAAAGGCTGATGTGGCAGCAAAAGAAGCTGATACAGCGAAAGCGGCATGGCTTTGCCGGGTGTGTTTGACCAATGAAGTTGACATGACGATAGTTCCATGTGGTCATGTACTTTGTCGCAGATGCTCATCCGCTGTTTCCAGGTGTCCATTTTGTAGGCTTCAGGTTGCAAAAACTATCAGAATTTTCCGGCCATAACAACTTGGCCAATTTAAACTCTAGATTTTTGTCATATATCTAGAGTTTTACACCTTGATTCATAGGAATGACCTCCATCTCTCATCGGCAATCATTTTGTGTTAGCTCCCATAAACGAGGCGAAAGATCAAAACTAGGAAAGACAAATTGTTCTGATACGTAGTTGTTTCAGTGAGAGTTGGAGTATAGTTCTCATTCCAATCTCCTTGTGAATAGTTGCTTCTTGCGCTTGTACATAAGAAAATGATAAAGAGGGAAACGTATAGTTTCACTCAGTTTCGCTGGATGTCCTTGAAAGGATAATACCATGCTTATACACTGAATTCGAATCACGTGTCTTCATTTCTTGTAATTGTTTTTCTTTCTCTGAACTCAATCTCTTGCTAAGTGGGCTATTTCATCAGCTGAATTTGGAGCATTCTGCGCACCATCTATTTTAGGCAAGTCTCCATTACAGTGCTTTAGTAGCTAGCTAGATACCATTCTTGTTGGTTCCGTCGAATATAGTCAATTACCATCATCTCCACCACCATCCCCCGTGCTGAATTCGTTGTTAGGCTGGCTGCCTATCAATGTTGATTATCACTTTCCCCTCTCTGATGCGTCCGATTTTCGTTCCTTTGCACAAAGATAAAAACTAAGTAAACTATTATTTTATCTTTTAGTGAAAAAATATTCAAGTCCTTTGGTCTAAATTTCAAGGAAAAAAAAAATACAATCAACTCTGGTTTTCAAAACAAGGACTAAATTACAAAATTATATATAAAAAAACAGTACTTAGTTGCTTGTAAAAATATAGCAATATCTCCACACAAGAAATTCTTATTGCTTAACCTACTTCAGTTTGTAGAGGTCTTGAGTTCAAAACATACCTCCCAAGTTATCTTTACCTTCACTTAGTTTGTGAATCTCATAATTTTTTTATTAAAAAAAAAGATGGCTACTTTCTAATTAAAAAAAAGGTAATGCAAATCTCATAATCACATAGACATATAAACCATAAAAAAATTGATAACAAATCTTGAAAAGTTGAAATAGATTTGATAGGAGTGATACAATAAAAACTTATTACAAAACACCAATATTATTGGAATAAAAATCTTCACCTTACAAATACTAATTTGTGAATGAAAAGTATAAGAAAAACACCATAAAACTAATTAATCTTTGATAAGTCAGTTTAGTTCGTTAAATAACTAAAAAATTTAGGAATATCTCTCACACAAATGAAATAGGTTCAATAACAATAATATTATCAAGTCTTAATATTTTATCATTACAAATAATATTTATACTCTTAAAAATAAAAATCTTAATGCTAATGGGTCAAACTTGTACCCAATTTTAAAAAAACCCAAACTAATTAAAATAAGATTTATGAATAATAAAAATAAATAAAATAATAGTTTAAAACTATTTCTCACCCCTTGCTATATATGATAATGAAAAACATCCAACATAAATAATCATATCCAAAATTATTATGTAGCTTTAGATATGACTTTAATGTTACGCAAAAGTCCAAACTAATAGATTTGAATATTTTTAACCCTTTATTGACTTAGCCCATTGAACTCTTTTTTGACTTCATTTTAGATCATAGAATAGACTTAATGAACATTTGTAATGAATTATTTAACGTTTTTTTTTGTTTGCTTCGAATGCATATTTGCTATCTTTTTTGTAATATATTGTTGCATCTTTTTAAATAATATTTTCAACACCAGTGTTTTTTTAATTTTTATTAAAAATAACTCTTTCAACAACAAGTAAAGAAATTAAATCTAGTAAGTTAGATCATAAACTATTTTAAATGATGAATATTTTTTTTTCTAATTTAATAAACTAGCACATAACAATTTATTCTATAATATATTAAAAAAATATATAAATACTCAATATACTCACCTATATTTTTATTATGAATATCATCAAAGTAATTAATAACAAAACTATTTACAAATGCATACGATATATGATCCAACGATCATTACTAATGCAACAGTAAAACCGCTACAGAGCTGTTAACAAGTAGTTTGCTTTCTTCCATTATGATGATGTGTGTGGATATATAAATGGCTTGGCTTCATGCCTTTTTCAGGTGGAGTACTGCATTATAACATGTATCTCTTCACAAAACCATCCTTGCTCTATGCAACTTTGATCGCACATCCATCTGCACTTGTGTCGTTCTGTAAAGTATTGGCTTCAATACATGCTATAAATATCCGACAATAAGAACCACAAGCATACAAGGTATCTGTTTAAGTGCAGAATTCTGTAATGATCGACTGGAGGTCTAAAATATCATCATTTCTGAGCTCAGGGGAATTGAAGTTCTAGATTTTACCATAAAAGTTGAATGTGCGTGTTTGAATTACTGAAATGAAACTATCAAGCCACCAGGCTACTGCCAACGTGGCATCTTTGATCTATTGGTTGACTAGCCCATCGCTTGTTTAAGTTAGATCTTCCTTGGAGAAGGAGAAAACATCAAGTAACAGATGCAAAAGATGATAAATCAGTATCATAATTAATTTAACAGCTAAGGGCAGTGAAAGTGCCGCCTCCATGGAATTCTGACGATGTCTTCTTGTGAATAAGCTGCCAAGCTTTTATATGGGCATTTCCTTCTCCTTTCCAAGTTTTTATATTTCATACTGTAAATGGTTTCTTTGCGCAGAAGAGGCTTGGGCAGCAGGGGGCAGCGGGATTCTCTTATGAACTACCAATGGTGGCAAGACATGGACCCATGACAAAGCAGCTGACAATATTGCTGCAAATCTTTACTGAGTAATGCTTTTACCTGTTTAACTTTGAACTCAAGAGACAGTCACAAACTATTCATACCGATAATCGTTTTTCTTCAGGTTTATTGATGACACGAAAGGATTTGTGCTGGGAAATGATGGGGTCTTGCTTGGTATCTTGGATAAAGACATTGCTTTCTCATGGTAACTGAAAGGATTGTCCCTTTCCTGTCAAGTTTCCATCTACTCTTATCAGTTTTATTGAGTGTAAAATCGAGTAGATTTCCTCAGATTTGATGGTATGCAAAAATCTAGAAGAAATGCTTTCCGAATCGCTGAATCCAATTCCTGAATTCGTCTGTGCGCAGGTTTCTCAACGATGCTGCAATTTTGTATCCGTAAAGTACTTGATGCCGTAAAGAGAGGAACAAAGTTTTAACAATGCATGTATTTTTCCATGCAACTATTATACGCGAATTGCTGCTACATTTCATTACAAATGTGGCTTCAAAGTATAAAGTCTACACGAAGGCAGTAATTAGCATGCATTAGGTCATGTCCAGTTTACGTGGAGATTCTGAAATATATCAAACTCATTACAGAATATTCAGGAAATTCTAACAACAGGATAAAGTTACAAAAGATAATCTACAAGTTCTTATTTTCTCATTCCTTGCAAAACTTAGGTTTAAATTCATTTATAAGTTGCAGTTAGATATATAAAGCTTCAATGATAAATACGAGAGTTGATGACCTCCAGAGAATTAACTATCTGCTATGCAACAGAAGCATCAATTGGTCCCCCATGGTCAAGAGGACACTCTGGCTCTTAAAGCCTGTAGATTTCCACTGACTGTTCCAAACTCAAGAGATTTTGGAAGTAGAGAAGACTGAACCAAGTTTTTTAACCTAATTTGACTAAATCAGTACTCTTCTCTCATATGAATTATTAACTAAAAGACCCACGCACTCATCCAATGAATAGAAAGTTATTATGTATTTGAAAATCTAGTAATAATTATTTTTTAAAATAATTTTTATTCAGAAATGTATTATAATAATACTTTTTATTATTTTTTAAAATTTATATTTAATATTAGTATATTAAAATAATCTAAAAATATCAAAACAATATAAATTCAAAGAAAAATAAATAAACAAAAAATTTACATAAAAAATAAATATTTTTAAAACATAAAAACATCATATTTTTAGTAAATTAGCATCAACACAAAAGAGCAACATAACATTAAGAAATCATTATTTGTTAAATAAATTGTATTTTTAAATTTATATAAAGCATAACATAACCGAAAGCTCACCCCGTAATTTTATTCTAAACAAAAGATACACATTACACAAACATGGTGTGAGTGACTGACAAACACTTGATCCAACAGAGATACTCTCACTTGAGTTGCCTCCTCCGATCTACATACCTAAGCTGGCCCCTCATCACTATTTTAAACTTCTACTCTGTTCAAGCCCTCAGCCCAACAGTCCCAAGAGAAATCTCGGTCTTCCCCTCTTTCTTTCATTGTAAAAGTATACCCATGTACAGATAAAGCACCAGACTTTCTCCCCCCCTAACTCTCAAGTCTCAAATCAAAAGGAGCAATCTCTACAAAGAGAAAACAGAAATGAGTCTCAGAAATCTGAAGGAATTGACCATTATTGCCAAAGAAGCATTCAGCAAGATGTTCTTGGTAGCCAAAACTCTATGCTTTCTACATGTCACCAACACCCATGTCTTCACTGTTGCTTCTGTAAGTATAAATAAGCATAAAGTAGTGATTTTTATTTGTTTCTTTTTAGAATCTAAACATTGATTTGGTGTCTTTCAGCTCTATGGACCAAGTATGCTCCCTACCTTTAATCTTACTGGTGATTGGGCATTGGCTGAGAGGTTTTCACACAAGCTTGGCAAAGTGGGGGCTGGAGATATTGTTATTTTAAAATCACCTGTGGAGCCAAGAAAAATTATGACTAAAAGAGTTATGGGTGTTGAGGGTGATTCTGTTACTTACGTTGTTGAACCCAAAAACAGTGATAGAACTGAGACTATTGTGGTATGTGTTGTTTCTTTTGTTGGGTATTTATAGAATTTGCCTTCTGTTGTTAAAGCTTAGTATGATTTATTTTTGTTAATGGGTTTTCAGTGGTTCTGCTGCAGCTGCTGCTGGTTTTTTTTTTTTTGGTTGATTTTTGATGTTTGGTTAATGGGTTTTGGAGAGTGTGGTTTGGTTAGTCAATACTGATGTTTTTGCTTTGCTGGATTTGTGGATTATTGCAATTTATTGTTTTAGGGATTGTTGATTGTTAGTTACAAAATGAAAAATGTTCGTTCTCTTTGATTAGGTTCCTAAGGGGCATATTTGGGTAGAGGGAGATAACATATACAACAGCAAGGATTCAAGAAACTTTGGAGCAGTTCCTTATGGCCTTCTTCGAGGGAAAATGCTTTGGAAGGTAAGCCTATTTTCTTCCTTAGCGTGCTTTTGTTGAATTTTGAGATTTGTTAATCTTTATAGTGCATGTTTGTTTTTGTTTTCCTATGAGGAATGTGTGAGTTATCGGCATTAATGTTCAAACCATGTCCAAATAACTTCTTTGACCTAGCTGGCATGAGTTGCCAATTACCATTGAGCTTTCTTGTGTCAGTTAAGTGCAATCGAGATTTTGTGTTTTTTTAGTTCAATGCTATTCAATAAATTATGAGGGCTAGGGTGAAGACAATGAACCAAAAAACACAAAAAAACCCTTGGGTAAAGGCTGATTTAAGACCTAGAAGGTCCGAAAAGTGACCCTTTATCTTTGTTTTCCAAGGCATAAAGGTAGACTGAAAATGATCCTGGATGTTACCCTAATGCACAATGTATTATGTGGAAAATTTCTATAATAATGCAGGTTAGTTAATCATGACCTGGGAACTTGAGGAAATATTCTGTAAGTAATATGAACCGATGTTGTTATTGTTGGTAGAAACTTCTAAATTTGTTTTCCTGACCGACATGGAATAAGGAAAGCCATCTAAGGTGAAGCACCATCTACTCCCAAGAGTGATTGACATGGCAGCCCAAGCAGGAGATACAGGGTAGTTCAGTTTTTGCTAAGCATGATGTGACATTGGTTACAGCCTATATGCTGCATGACAACAAGTCATTCCTAGACCGTCTCAGTAATCTTCACAAAGAAATTTAGGTTTTATTATGACTTAAATGGTGTTGAACTGTGGAGAAAAATGCATTATATCAAACCATGGTTGAATTTATCGTTTTCTAGCCTGACCTTCTCAAGCAGTCCGCCCTAGGCAATAGGCATTGTGATGTAAACAGTATGCAGTACTTGATATCTAGTGAAATCATCAGGGTGAACTCTGGATTAAGATAAATTCATCCTTAACTAGTTGCAATAACGAAGTGGTGTGAATGGAATGATTATCAAAGCTCAGGTTGCCTTCATGAGCAGCTGGATCACCGATTCACGTGCTTTACCACTATTTTACATATTATGATCCACTGATTGTGATAGGAAATGGACCAAGTATACTCCTATTCGGAGCTGACAGCTATGGTTTTTTGTTCCTTTTGCAACTGCTGGGCAGTCATTTTTCATAAAGGCTTATCTCCTTGCACTAAATTTCATGGTTTTCTTTTTCTTTCATTTTGTTTCTAGATATGGCCACCTAATGATTTTGGATATATCGGAAAAAAGAAGGAAAACAGCTGAACAAATGTCGCTAGGTAAGTGTTCTTAGATGGCACACAATTACTGTCTCCATTTTCCCTTTCTCCCTATTTTATTTTGTAATGCCTTTGATCTTTCTCAAAGTTTGATTTTAGTGGTCTGCTGAGATCAAGTATGAGTGAATAAAATGAGCCTCATTTGTTCACTTCCAATCAGTTCTCAGTACATGCGGGTGCTTGGCATTCAATAGCAAGGTTCAAGATTCATTTTGATGCATTTTAAATTGAAAAATATTTTTAAGAATTCCAAGCCTTGGACAAAAGACAAAAGCTTTATATATTTAACAAATCTTACAACTATTTAGCTGAAATTTGAGATTAACATTTTAAAATTTAAAGAATTGTAATACAATGGTCCAAAAAATATATCTCAATCTTTCTAAATCAATCACATCTTGTGATAATATATATTTAAATACAAGAAAAAATAAGTTTCCTTCTTTTTAATTTATCTTATCTAAATGCATGTTTAAATACAATGTAAATTAATACATAAATTAGTTCTACTCTATGGTAATTTAACATGTATCATCAACTTTAATCACATTTTTAAATAAATGTTTATAACTTATTATTTTTTAAGAAGTATTTTTAACTATAATTTTAACCATACATCTATTTAAATCATACATGCCATGATAAAAGGTGATTTTTAAAAATCAATTTTTTTAAAACTTCAACCACTAAAGCTACATAAAAACTATATAGATATATATTATTTCAAAAGTTTTTAATGTGGAATATTAAAATTTTAAATATAATTTTTATTTTTATTTTTTCAGGTTAATTCAAATTAATCCATGTGATATGAAATATGATATTTTAACCGGGTTTAATCAAGTTTAATAGCTATAATAAACAATAAACACAAAGTCTCACTCTCAGCTGTCATGATTCAAGGCGTGGGGCCTTTGTCCCCGTTTTGAACACCCTAAAGGGAAAATAAAAAAAAAAGGCACCAAATTGGTGAAAGAAACCGAGTTGTGTGTTCCCCTTCTTTCTGCCTGCTCTATTCTCTAGGATCTTACTGTTATTTTTATCATTTCAAAATAAATCAGGCTAATCCAGCAAAAAAAACCCTTTGAACTATAATCTGTGTTTTGATCGACACCTCCATGAGACCCTTTTTTATTTGTTTTTGTGGATTCCAATACTTGAAGCATGAACAGCTATCCATTAAATTGGTTAAATGACATGTAGGAATCACATGTTTTGTTACCATCCATCAAAAATCATTAAAAACTGTATATTTGAAGTTTGGTAATTCTTGTCTCTGATTAATGTACTCTCTCATAAAGAAAAAAAATGATTCCAAGATTTTAGTGATGATGCACTGGTTATTAAAAGACAATTTAGCTACCATGTATGATACCCTGTGAATTTTACGTGGAAAATTTAGGGTTTTCTTCACAGAAATTTCTCTCACTGAACGAAAGCTTCAATCTGCGCTAGCGTATTCGATCTTCCTCGATATTTCCGATCCGAAAGGACTGTCAAGTGTCAAGGAGCTCACCCTTGTTGCTATTCTTATCTAGTTCGGATTTGATACAAATAAAATGGATAGAAAACAACCTATATCTACCCAAAAAATCCCTAAAAATAGGTTAAAAATAGACTTGGGCTTTCCAGTCTAAATTAAATATACAGTTGGATAAAAAAAAAAAACAGAAGCTCTAGCATGGTATGTTGGGATGGTGTGCAGCCATCTGGAAGTATGCCTAATGTTAGGCCTATGCTCAACACACCAACTGTTGGGCATGCACCCCACCACCAACACTTGGTTGGGTGTGGTGCCCATTAGAGGTGCTGGGCATGCATCCTCTTGGGCTGTTATGCACGTCCCGAGTTCAATATGCTCGGGATCAGTGTATATTTTGTGCCCAACGTTTCTGGATTCATTTTTTATTTTTAATGGCCTCAAATATTTTGTTTAAATTCAACACTCGTTAGAGAATTTTGTTAGAGAATTTTTTTAAGATTTCATGCAGGTACTTTAATGTTTTTCACTAATATTATATATATTATTTTGAGTATAATACAACTCAAAATATTATTAGGGTGAAATTATATTTTAGCCTTTTTTTTAATAAAAAGACAAGATTTATAGATTATAAATACACTATGAATCCTTGAAGCTAAAAGTTTACAATCTTTTCATTTTTAATATTTTTAACATACATCTTTTAAGAGTTTATCTCTCTACAATATTATTACATTTTTTCTCTTTATAAATTTATTAACTTTACCTTCAGAGAATCTTTACATTCATTAAAAGAGATCCATTAAAAGAGATTTTTTATAGATATTAGTTACTTTTTACTTGGCTTATCGGAACCATATGCTACTACAATAGTTATTGATCACCACAATTACCAACCTCTTGTATTTTTCATGTTAAGTCACTAGACATCTTAGTTATAAATTAGATTATCTAAACTAAAAAATCAACTAATTATTTAACATATCAACCTTATTTCTCATCATATTGCATTCTATAACTCATCACAATCCCTAGCATGCACATCTTAAGATTATCTAGTAGCTAGGGATAGTGAATAATAAAAAATATACATCGATTAGTTGACATCTATCAAGACTTTTATGAAATTGTTGATGAAAATAGCCTTGTAGTTAACAAATAACCTACTCAGGAATTGACTTCACGAGCAGTTGGACCACTACCTAATTCCCATGTTCTCCCAATAACTTTAGACATTATGATCCATTGATTGTGATGGGAAACGGAGCGACCATACTCTCAAATTAGCGGGAGATTCTCCCAAAATTATTTATCGAAGAACTTTAGCTATTGGCAACATGTATGATCAACCATGTGTGTGTTTCATTTTATCTAGTTAATTTTGTTTAGAAATGAAATCCTATTGATCATTGCAATCAAGTCTTTTCTCGTCGTCATGGAACCTCTATGCTAAGAATGAACATGTTTGGCAAAAACTTAATTGCTAGAAAGACTTCTCACGCCATGCCTACAGCCTTGGCTTCTGAAAAGAAACAGGTTGCAATTTTGAAACACAGAGGGAGGCAAGCAAGGATTCAACAAGATAAATTCACTTGGTGGGATGAAAGAATTAGAGAGGCTATTATGACAAGAACAATGACCGCTCTATGCTAACCTAGGAACTCGTGTCTATACACGCATAGGTCAGAATAACTTGAAAATGCCATACTACCAGAGCAGCTATCGCATTGAAAACTGGTTAATATGCAGCATCTAGCATCTTCATTCTTTTGTCAAATTTACTAGCACTCACAGCCATCTTCATTGGCCATCATTTATGATTCTTCATTCCTTTTCTTCACTTGCAGGTTGCATGCCTCGGTACTAGTTTAAAGATGGGATCACCCACCGCTTTGAAGAGTGTAATATATCTCATAGATCTTGTCATCGGCATGGATGTCTTGCTCTTTTTTCAGTGAATATAAAAATACACCGAGTCTTGGTATACGTATAATGATGGACTTTTTGTGTGGATTGACAAACTTCATTTCAAAGCCTAATAGAAAATGGCATGTTAGTGGACAGTAGGAATAAAATACAAGTTACTAGACTCTCTTTGGCATGCATCTATATAATATATTAATCTAAAAACCTTTAGAAGCTCAAGAATAATTGTAGGCATAAACCTCCTTTTCTCGTGATTTTAAAATAAAATTATACCACCTAGATGACCAAGTGGTAAGGACTTGGGATCAAGGAGTTTGCTCCCTCTGTGATCTCAGGTTCGAGTCCTTGGTTGCTCATATGATGGCCACTGGAGGCTTACATGGTCGTTAACTTCAAGGCCCGTGAGATTAGTCATGGTATGCTCAAGCTGACCCGGACACCCATGTTAATCTAAAAAAAAATTATAATTATAATGAAAGATGGTAAAAAGATTCGGTTTTAATCCAATAGATATTAGAATTGATTAAACTAATGAATATGAATTGTTTTATTTAATAAACAGAAACTATTCTAATTAATTAGCTGTTCAAGATAAATTTATATATATTATGACAAATATAATAATAGAATCTAGTATGCATACTGATGAGTATATATTCAAATTTATAATTGATTTCAAAACAGGAAGTGAGTCACTACCTGAAGCAGCATTAGGCAAGTGATAAGAAATTAATTAGGGAGAGATAACATCCCTGATTTAAATTTTACCATTTGCGTTTCTTAACCTACATGTACCCCCCCCCCCCCCACGTTATTGCGTTTAAGAGTGTGTCTATGATTTATATATAAAAAAAGGTTGGTTTTAAAACAAATTCTTAGCATGCACGTTAATAATATAAAATATTGATGTTAATAATAAAAAAAATACTTGCTGTGAAGCATTTTAAAATAATAAAGTTTTTTATTATCAAAAATAGATATTTTATCTTTAAGTTTTTATTACTCCTCATTTTATGAAATTAAAATATTTGCAATAAGTCTCTTAAAATTCCAACAACATTACCTTAAATTGCAACAACATTACCTTATTTAAATGCACTATTAAATTAGGTGTATGAACCTTTAAAAAAAAAAAAGAATGTAATATAAGCTTTAGATTTGGAAGAAAATCAAAGCTTAACATGAGAAGAAAAACAGTACAAGTGAGGTGAAAAAGAGTATATAAAATTAAAAATATATATATTATTTCAAATTCTTCCTTCACTCT